AAATACCATTTTGAAACCAGCCGAAATTCAAATCTCTGCTACAAGAGCCTTGAAATTCAATTGAACATAAGGTTCGAAACAGCATAATGTTAATTTTCACGTCTTTTTTGATTACACATCTGGAAAAACTTGCTTTTTATGTCCAAAAACTTTTCAGTTATGCAAGAATGAGGCATGGACGGAAAGCCTATTGACCGTAGATTCGAAAAATACAAGTTTCAGACCGTGCCAAATTCTAGTTTTTTGTAAACGGGGCCGTGAATTTCAATAGAGCTCAAGATTCGAAAACGCATAATATTAACTTTCACGTATTTTTCGATTACACAGCTGGAAAAACCTTCCGTTTACCTCCAGGACTAGTCTACTGATGCACGAGTAAGATATCGACAGAAAGCCTATTGATCGTAGATTCCAAAAATACCATTTTGAAATCAGCCCAAATTCAAATCTCTGCTGCAAGAGCCTTGAAATTCAATTGAACATAAGGTTCGAAACAGCATAATGTTAATTTTCACGTCTTTTTTGATTACACATCTGGAAAAACTTGCTTTTTATGTCCAAAAACTTTTCAGTTATGCAAGAATGAGACATGGACGGAAAGCCTATTGACCGTAGATTCGAAAAATACAAGTTTCAGACCGTGCCAAATTCTAGTTTTTTGTAAACGGGGCCGTGAAATTCAATAGAGCTTAAGATTCGAAAACGCATAATATTAACTTTCACGTATTTTTCGATTACACAGCTGGAAAAACCTTCCGTTTACCTCTACGACTAGTCTACTGATGCACGACTAAGACATCGACAGAAAGCCTATTGATCGTAGATTCCAAAAATACCATTTTGAAACCAGCCCAAATTCAAATCTCTGCTGCAAGAGCCTTGAAATTCAATTGAACATAAGGTTCGAAACAGCATAATGTTAATTTTCACGTCTTTTTTGATTACACATCTGGAAAAACTTGCTTTTTATGTCCAAAAACTTTTCAGTTATGCAAGAATGAGGCATCGACGGAAAGCCTATTGACCGTAGATCCGAAAAATACAAGTTTCAGACCGTGCCAAATTCTAGTTTTTTTGAACGGGGCCGTGAAGTTCAATAGAGCTTAAAATTCGAAAGCGCATAATATTAACTTTCACGTATTTTTCGATTACACAGCTGGAAAAACCTTCCGTTTACCTCCACGACTAGTCTACTGATGCACGAGTAAGACATCGACAGAAAGCCTATTGATCGTAGATTGCAAAAATGCCATTTTGAAACCAGTCCAAATTCAAATCTCTGCTACAAGAGCCTTGAAATTCAATTGAACATAAGGTTCGAAACAGCATAATGTTAATTTTCACGTCTTTTTTGATTACACATCTGGAAAAACTTGCTTTTTATGTCCAAAATGTTCCAGTTATGCAAAAATGAGGCATTGACGGAAAGCTTATTAACAGTAGATTGCAAAGATGCAAGTTTGAGACCGTGACACGTTGTAGTTTTTGCTAGAAGGGGCCTTGAAATTCAATAGAGCATAAGATTCGAAAGCTTATAATATTAACTTTCACGTCTTTTTCGATTACACATCTGGAAAAACTTGCTTTTTATGTCCAAAAACTTTCCAGTTATGCAAGAATGAGGCATCGACGGAAAGCCAATTGACCGTAGATTCCAAAAATACAATTTCGGACCGTGATATATTCACGTTTTTGCTAGAGCAAGGGGTCACATTAGAATAAGATTTGTTTTATTTTCCTCGAAAAAATAAATGGTTTGGGTGGCACAGAGCACCCAAACAATTTATTTTTATTTTTTCGAGGAAAATAAATCAAATCTTATTTTAACGTGTTTTCTTGAGCAAAGTCAAGTAAGCAAGTCAAGTTAGTAAGACACCAATGTCTCATAGTCATAAGCACCCTAAAATTACATACTATGCTCATTCGAATCTTTTCTCGGATTACAAACACCCGGCTTCATGCTCTTGCAACACTTTGTCCTTACCACTAGACCGTCTCGCCTACGCTTACTTTAATTCTTTTTATTATACTTAATTCTTTCTCATCTCGGGTGGAATAATTAACAACGACGCCTGACATTAAAATGCTTTTGATACAACCAGGAATCAAACCTGGCTTCACACACTTGCAACACTTCGTCCTTACGACTAGACCATCACGACCACACGAGCTCTAAGCCCTTTTTATTCTACTTAACTCATTCTCGTCTCGGGTGGACTTATTAAAAACGATGCCTGACATTAAAAAGGTTTTTACTACAACCAGGAATCTAACCTGGCTTCACACACTTGCAACACTTCGTCCTTACCACTAGACCATCTGGACTACGCTCTTTTTATTCTACTTATCTCATTCTCGTCTCGGGTGGAATTAATTAACGACGCCTGACATTAAAATGCCTTTGGTACAACCAGGAATCGAACCTAGCTTCACGCACTTGCAACACTTTGTCTTTACCACTGCACCATCTCGCCTACACATGCTTTAGCACTTTTTTATTGTACTTAACACATTCTCGTCTCTGGTGGACTTATTAAAAAACGATGCCTGACATTAAAAAGGTTTTGACTACAGCAGGGATCGATCCGTAGTCTCCCTCATGCAACATCACTGGACTACCACTCGACCATTGGTGGAAACCATACATGGTGGAAACCATAATCTCTCATCACAAAATTTTATTTAAAAAAATTAAGTCGCCAAAAATTAAAGGCCTGACCGTTTACTTTTTGGAACGCAAAAAATGATGAAAAAAACAGTAAAGTTTTTGATATTTAATTTTTTCAAAATGTGACAAAAAATGGTGAAGGGACTGTTCTCATTCCATTTTTCGTCACATTTTGAAAAAAAATGATGTGTCAAAAACGAACTATTAAGCGTTTATCCCCCCTTACCTATTTGCCGATTTTTCAGAAATCATTAAAAAAACTTTCTAAAATAATCCAAAATTTAAGGTATTAGCCTTCACTTTTTGGAGATTATTAGGGTTACAAAATTGACTAAAATGAGCGAAAACGTAAGTGGGTTACCTTAACCTAACCTTAAGGTTAACCTCAATTTAACCTTAAGGTTAACCTCGATTTTAGGCCTATTTTTAAGAAACAAATAAACGGTCTAAAATGGATGACTTCGCTATTTTCGCTTTCCACATATTTTTGGACCCAAAGTGAAAGAAAATTGAAAGAAAGTGAAAAAAAGTGGAAAAAGTGAGGGAAAATTGAAAAAAAAGTGAAAATAAACTGGAAAAAGTGAGAGAATTTTGCAAAGCTTACAAAGAATTTAAAGTGAATAAAAATTGAAAAAATGCGAAACAAAAGTGGAAAAAGACATAAGAAAATTGAAGTGGAGGGAAATTAAAAAACAATAAAAAAACTACCGTTCCATTGAACAGGTTACATTTAACCTGTTGTTTCACACAAGAACAAATGAATAATATTTATCGCATGCAAACTTTCAAGGCAAGGAATTTATTGTTGCTTCAACTGACTATATTAATGCTTAGTAAAAGAAGTTAGATTTCCATGCATTGTTTATTGTTTCAAGCTCGTTTCAGGCCCGTAACTAGGATTTGAGATTTTCCGAGTCGAGGGTCTGGGGGCAAGTTCCTCCCCAGAAACGTTTTTATTTTGTAACGTTTAGAAACGCTACTTCTTGCATTCCGAGAGAGCAGTTTATGACTATAATTTTATCGTCTCTCAATTATTGGGCAATCCTAAGAATTACAAATATTCCTGGCCCATAGTAATAACAAGAATATTTTGTGGTATTGTTATGAAGTCAAATCCACTGTTATTTGGGCACCTGGGGTAAACTTGCAAAATTTTGACGTGTCAAGTAGCTGGAACTCGTTCCCTCCATCAGGAATTCCATTCAGTTCTGATTTCTCTCTTTCAGCTTGAAGTTTTTCTGTTTCAAATTTTGTCACGCATGTTCTTATCGGGTTAAGTGACTCGGTTGACTCTTAGCTAGTCACGGGCCTGCTTTTAAGGACGAAAACAATCAGTGGCGGACAAATATTCGGGGTGCGGGTTATGTTGCTAACATTTCCTGCGCTTTTGTTTCTGTATATTTCAATTCTTAAGACTTTTGTGAATCCATAGTCTATCAAGGTAGAATGGTCTGGAAACAGAAATCATTGTGTTATAGTTTTGTCTGAGTTTATGTTAAAGGCACAGTTCAGCCTTTTGAACGATGGTTTTTAAGGCGCATTTGAGCCCTTTTAATTGAAAAAACTAACTAGGAAAATCAATTAAGCATAATTCAAAATCAGTAAACTCGATGTTTTTAACAATATAAATGTTTTAAAATGTTAAAAACATTAAGTTTGGTGATCTTCAATTATGCTTAATTGATTTTCCTAGTTAGTTTTTTCAATTATAAGGGCTGAAATGCGCCTTAAAAACCATCGTTCAACAGGCTGAACTGTGCCTTTAATCATAGTAATCATCCAATAGGGATAGCTCATGACGTTAAACGTGCAACCACGATGAATAATATTTAATGAAGTTGAGACAAAGGATTTGTGCACGGTGACGTACAGTTCAACACAACGTCTTCTATTTTGTGACTTTGAAGTTTGCCAGGCTTCCAGATCATCATATCTTGACAGATCCTTAATACAAATTTGCTTAAACATTCTGCTCTCAGACTTCCATTGCAACAGGTAAAGTTACTCAATCAAACAGTTATCGTTTAAAGACATTTAGAAATAATTGAGAGGATTGCTATCCCCATCCTCGTCTCTACCCCCAGTGTCCACCACTGAAAACACTATAAAATTCTTGGAAAAACGACGCCATATTTAGGTCCTTGGAAAACTCCCCACACCCTGCATTTACCATTGTTGGGTATTAAGTAAATTTTCGCAAATATTTTTAAGGGCGTAGAAAGTTCTATGAAACTAAGGAGCCATAAATATATCTTATTCTAAATAATAAAAAAATCTTCTCAAAAACTCTGTTTCTAATTTGTGTTGGACGAACATCAGATAATATATGATCTTATCTTCTGGTATCAAACATCGCGAGACTTTGACTGATGCATTCATCCTTGAAAAAAAAACACGCAAATCAAAATAATTAATCATGAGTGCAATGATTCTTGCAATTCTTGAAAATTTTCATAATGCACGATTCTGGCTATATACTTTTCACAAATGATACTTACATTTGCACAATTCCCAATAAATACGTCTTGCGTTACATAACCATTGTCACTTTTATCAATAATCTAAAAATAAAGGTAGCAGATGGTAAGTTGCCGGTTGTAATCTATGCCAATCCTGCGCTGATAGTAAACTAGTGTACTTTTTTTTTTGCTGATTAAATTTGGATACAGCACAGGAGGTAGTGTTTCTTGGGTTCTCAATTTCATGCATAAACAGAGCAAAAGATAACTGCTCTCCTTCTAGTGGAAGCAATTGTTACTTGATAGCTGCAGACCCAGCTGTTTTGAAGTGGTGTTGTTTTTGAAGAAGTGTCGTGTTTCGTTTTCTCCTATGCTTCCATGGTTTTTCCAGGTACTCCGCCCCCCCCCCCCAAAAATTCTAACTCTTCCACCTTGGAGCTCTGTTCCGTGATCAGACGTGAGTTGTATGGGTGGCAACCATCGGCACTGCGCAACTATTAAGCGTTCGACCCAATCACGTTTGAGCTGGGTTTTAATCAATTAGACCGTGCAAGTCAAATACAGACTTTGGCCTACTTGATCAATGTCACTCAATTGATTAAGTAGTCTTTTCTTTGGGGTGCAATAAATTGGTGCAAAAAAGATCATATAGCAGAAAAGCCGTAAGTAAAGACTAAAACTGACCTCGAAGATCCGAAGAACTTGGTTGTTAATGGCGTGGTTATCACCAGGACCTGAAGTTCCAATTAAGTTATGAACAGCTGATACCACGATATTTAAATCTTGTTTGGAAATATTTCCATCACCGTCGACATCGTAAAGATGAAACATCCACTTTAATTTGTCCTCAGTTGTGCCATGTAATGCCGTTGATAGCCTCATTATAAAATTCTGTAACGAAAATTGCAACGTTCGTAAATTATCACAAAGATGAAGCAATCGGAGCAATTAGAGCAAAATTAATTGCAAGTTTTTCATGTTTTTTATTAGTTACCTCTTTTCCACCGCCTCCACAGTGAAACGGCCTGTCTCTAATGGCTAAGGCCTTATAACAGACGACTTGCATTTGTGCCTTTTTTTCATGTGCTCAAGAGCTTAGGACTATAGTATACTCCCTCGAATGATAGTGACTTCGAATTAGCTTAATCTCAGGGTCTATTTGCCTACCTCGTACGAAAGTTTTCCTCTTCTGTTTAAGTCAAATGCATTGAAAACAAGACCAGCATACTCGCCAGATTCTGAAATGAATGAAACAGTTTTAATGAGGTAACAGTGAATATTACTTCTTTATAGCAATATAGCTACAAGATCGGGATAATCAACAAAGGATAATTCTTCTGTGGCAAAAGATCTCAAAATAAAATATTAGGCTAACTGTAAGGAGTGTAGAGACAGGGGCTGACACTTGAGATGAGAGTAGTGTTTCGTACCTCCGTGAGGAAAAAATTGAGCATATATCTTCTTGAATGCTTCCTTATCCGCAAAGCCTTCAGGGCAATCCTAAACAAAAGCGAAAAAAAGAATTAAAATACAGTACATCTGTACATGTATGTATCGCCGTCAGTATTGCAGACTGAATATTACAAAAAACTTACATTCTTGAAACCTCTATACATTCTCTGCAGTTCAGCCCTGGTAAATTTTGTCTTCAACAACAATCCTTCAATTCCCTCGCTTTGTTCTGATGAACAATTAAATGAAGATTCCAAGGAGCATTCTAAACAATGAAGAGATCATCTCAATGAAGAAATGGTTATAGCCACGCAAAACGCTTTCCATTTACATGGTTATTCATGACGTTTGGAAATTTCTTACCATCAGACATCATTCCATCACTTCCATGAGACTTTTTTCTCGATTTTCGACCTGTAGAACAAAGATGATCTTTAAAAACAAGACGGTACGAGAATGGGTTTGTTAGATTTCGTTTTCCATGTACTTAAGGTCATGCGGGATTAAAGTAAGGCAAGTCAAGCAAGATACAGTACGGTAAGGAAGGTACGGTAAGACAAGGTAAGAAAAGGTAAAGTAACGCAAGGTAAGGTTGTAAATAAAGGGGGAAAGTAAGATAAGATCAGAAGAAAAAATACAAGATAAGGTAGTTAGAAATGGGAAGATAAAACGAGAAAAAGGTGCAACATTAAAACCTCAATACAATTGGATTTTATATTTTGTAGACATGACAGGCTGTGGCCTCCTAACATAACAAATACCTCGAATAATCCGGAGAAGTGAGCCTTTGTTTGAACCACGTTCATCTAGACTGTTTTCACAACTTGACAAACAGTTATCGCTCGGAGATCTTGGTGACTCGATGTCTACATCTGGGCCTTCACCGTCGACAGAAGCTGCTAGTAAAATACAAGAGTATTTCTCACGGTTTGAAGGACTAAATTTTAGAGGCGTTCGTGAGACATTGGTTGATGCATTTACATATGTGGCTACGCACACCTGGGAAAAGTGAGATCTCGCGAACGTTTGCCTTGCGAGAAGATTGAGTGACATTTTCAGTATTTCATACATACAGTATGGAAGAATCTTAATTAAAGAATTATTATATCATACTTTCTTAATACCTGTCCTCTGAGACATCTAACATAAATACAGTCAGGTAAAGGTCAAATTTTCCATTGTTCTTGCGCATTTTAAGGAACATTTGGGATCAAATTCTACAAACACCTTCTCGTATACTTCCCGTTCAAAGTAGAACTATCTCAACTGAAACCCGCTTTAAAAATAACATCTTGAACTGTATATGCATGTAGTACCAATAATATGAACAACCTTTCGTTGGTAGAGATGCAACTACCTGAAAAATATAAGGAGAATTTCGACGTTTTGAGTGAAGGCCCTTCGTAATTGCAGACGAAGAGTCTGGAGTTACGAAGGGCCTTCACTCAAAACGTCGAAATTCTCCTTATATTTTTCAGAGAGTTGCATCCCTACGAACGAAAGCTTGTTCATTTAGAAATGGAACCTTTATCTTCCACTCCCTATTTCGTAATATTGGAAATTTCACTATAGGGTAAACTTTTATATAATTAAAATTATATTTTATTAATTATAAAAGTTTGCCATAAATTACTTTTTCCATATATAGACGTTCAATAAGTGTATAAGCGAGAAAATTGTCAAAGGAAAATTGGCAAACGATAATATACTCCGGCCGTTGTTCGAAAGCCACGACTATTAAGCTAATTTAAAGCAATCTTTCTGACTATAAACTTGGACTTAACTTTTTCCAGAAATCGTATCTGGATGAAAAGTTTTGAAACAACCGAACAATCAGAAATATACAAACTAAAACAACAGGTTATATTCTAACCCAGGGTTAGCGCTAATCCAGCATTGAATAACTGTCCCCTATAAGTCCAAAGGTTGAATTTGTCAAAGGGAGATTCTCAAACACAAAAAAGTGAACTTTTCTCGTCCATCAAACAAGGTCAACGCGCCAAGCTGGGCATGCCAACCTTATTTCTCAAATGTTTGTGTTATAATATACACAGGGGGTTAAGTGATTGCATATGGCATTGAATTAATTTTGTTTTGTTGTTTTAATCATTATTGCGAAATATGCAAGTCTGCTTGGAACATCCGTGCGTCAAGCCATTTTTAATAAAATTTCACATTTACAATCAAGATATTTGCATATGGAGTGTGCACGGTTGAGAAAAGATTTCAAAATTGAAATAAAAAAACATGAGAATTGAATAAGAATGAAAAATGAATAACGGCGGAATGAAACGCCATGAAAAAACGTTTGAGTGCATGTGGGCGTGTATGCATGGCTGATTAATTTACGTTCAAGCCCACTCCGATTTTTCAACTGTTATATATAATACCAAAATAGCCAAAAGATGAACTGAAATAAAAATATACGAAATGAATCGAAAGAGATAAATAAGAATGAAAAACTGAATAATTACAGCAGAGCATACATGCGAATATATTTATATGCATCATATGTCTTGTAAATTTGGAAACTGATTTGGCTCGCGTATATTCGCGAGTGGTTGTATATATTGGATAATTGCAGGTTTTTTCTACGTTATAATCCAAGCTGGTTATCTATAATAGACTTCTACTCCAATTATCATTGTCTAATCTGTTCTCTGTAGAACAAATGATACCCCTATTTATCCAGTGTTTTACCAGAGTACGTCGAGATCCGCCGGGACATTTGGTACTAGAAGCACTCCTCTGATGCTGAGGCAAAATTCAATTCCAACAAGCTCCAATCACAGAGATGGAAGAAACATGCTCTAATGTGCCGTAATGAACCAACACCCCTGTAATTAGGAGAAACTGGAACATTCCAAACAATGCATGTCTTGCGTCTTCATGTGCAGCCAGTATTATTGACGCCTCGTATATAGGAGTTTAATTTGTGTACATGAAATCATACTTTTCTAATTTGTGTACAATTATACTAAATGTCACGTACAAATGTAAAGCTACAACTAAAATTGCTCGATGTGACGCGACTCTTAAGCTCGGATCAAGCGAGTATGAGAGTTGGCAGTCACTGCATCTTGGTTAACTGTTCTCAACGCTTTCCAAACACTATCATGGATTTTATGTAAGTCAAAACATAGTTGGAACACTCATCAAATCTTTACTGTTTTGTTAACCTAGAGCTTGAAATATCCCTGGAACAATGCAACTCTCATCAAGTCTTACTCTAGTCTGACCGCGAGACTCTAGAGTTTTGTTTTTCCTTGCGAGTATAAACAATGCAACAAAACACAGCTATAGTATAGACTATCGGATAAATTGTGTCACAAGTAGTCAACTTGCAACATAAAACGTCAAGAACACCGTTTACGCGGTATGTGCATGTGGTAAGCGCCCAAGCTTATAATTCTTTATATAGCCGAGAATTTATTGTTTTGGGAGTACTAGAGCAGAATTCATGACATTGACACAAAATAGAATATGTTTCGACGGTTATTAAAAGCGGAAAACAGGCCAGCTTTAACTAACCACATCGATCTTTGTATGCTTATATAATTGTATATATACACACTGCAAAGCTATTGGCATTGACAACAGGTTTATTTTATTAAACTCAAGCTTCACTGTATATTAAACAAATTTGAAAACGTAGCGATATGTTCCAATTCGAAGCAATGTCGCTCATTTTGTCAAAACTGGTGCGTTTATACAATAAAAAACGAAATGAATAACTTTTTTACTCTATATAAAGTTTAAATACATATAATTTTAAGCCAAGTGTATATGAGCTTGTGTGAAGTAAACAATGAACCGTTAGCAATACAAATACTCATATTGTATGTCATATAACTGCACTAAACTTTAAAACATAAACCTAAAAAATACGGGAAATAATCAACAATCCTTCGAGGAAACGATATCGCGTTATAAACGTTGAATTATTCAATCAAATTGAACCGAAACTGCTGCAAACTTATTTTAATAACAACTACTTGGATTTCAAATATAGTATAAAAACCCTTTTCAAACATATCACATTTTTCGATCAATTTCGACATTTTTTCCCGCCAAAACGTGGGACTTACCTTCACGCATGGATCGACTATTCCTTGTACCCATTTTCCCCATCGTTCGAACTCATATCCTTTCATTGAAAGCAGTGAATTCAGTATGCATTGCAGCTATAGAACACACTCGTGATACGCATTAGAACTTAGCTTGCCACCTGTTCGCCTGTTTCAAGCAATTTGCCGTTCATTAATAATGGATGTTTGAGTGTTTATTGAATTAGGCCACCACATGCGGTGGAAATGTGGTTTTTTACGTCGTAGATTGGATGCGAGAGCCAATCCTATGAGCCAAGACACACGTCTAGTCTTTAATCAATGCAAAATAGCTTTATCAAACGTTAGATGACGACCACAAGCTCAATAACAACAACAAAACAACACACTTCCGTAAAACTCCCAGTACACTTCCAAAGAACATGTAACCCACCCCTCCTGGAATATACTCTCCAAGCATGTAAAACCAAGGGTGATGGGGATCCTGACTCTCACTTCCAGTAATGACACTTGATTGTATGATTATATAGTATGAAGATATAAAAATAACTATACTTTCACACTTTGTGGCCATTATAGGCAGATGGCAACAGGTTTAAATGTACGACACGCTGTAAATTAACATTTGCATGGCAATTGAGAACTGAAACGGTTACAAAAACACCAATACATTATATTTCAGTAGTGTTCAGGAAAACCCTTAATAACCCAGGGTGTGCTTATCAGTCCATTCATCCTTACTTACGTCTGAAAGCTGAATGACGTACACGGACGCAGTTCGTACGTGAGCTTTAAGCAAGTGACGTCAACACGGGCGTCACACGAAAATTCGTCCAACTAAATTTTGATGGCATTTTGCATCATAGCGTTCATGTAAGGAGGAAAAACTTTAAAAATCTTATGTTTTGTCGTATGTGATGAAGATTACCACAAACTGATACAATTTATGTCAAACCCATTTTTTAATCCAGTCCCCCTCGGCCATCTGATGTCCATGTTGACAAAAACGTCGTGCTCACTGTTTATGTAGGCACTGATCTGTTAACCACGACTGGACAACCACAAATGTGGAGAAATTGCAAGAGTCATCAATAGTCTCTCATTCTTCTTAAATTTACGAGAGAATAACTAATGATCACACCAACAAGGGCGTCAAATCTTGGAGGAGAGGGGGAACGAAACCCCCCCACTTTGGGGGAGAGAGATAAATAAATATATAACATTGCCCCCACTTTTTGCCATATTTTGCTCTCTCTATATACTTCATGATACATGATTTTAAAATAGTTATTCAGCGTAGTTTGGTCAGACTGACATAATTTTGCTCTTGAAATTCTTATTTTTTTTTAAAAAAAGTCGATCTTCTCAATCTAAAAGTCATTGAAAATTTCTGTAAGCGCCCTATCCCACAGAAGCTCGGTTTCAATAGAACAATAAAGACTGGACTGGTAATATTTGCCAATATACTTGTTGTGAAAATACCACAAAATTTCAGGGGGGGGGATAGTTTGGGTCGGAAATTTTTGATGATGATGTCCGATGACCTTCAGTTCAGTTTGGCTCGGAAATAAATCTGAATGACACAAATTAATATCTGCACGATATATTAGTTCTGAACGGTAAATACCGCCCCACGCTCGATTGCATTAAAACAACATTTCCAGTTCACTTTTTTATACATTTCTCTGATTTTCCATTTAACATACGAGCCTCTAGTCCTGGACTAGGGTACATTTCGATTTATGTCGGACAAAGCCACAGATCGGTTGGACACCAATACACTCGGGTCGGACAAACAATAAACGTCAGTGTCACTTAGGTCAGACAGAATGTCCGGTGGTTTCCTCTACACGTCGGATAATTTCACGAATGGGTCGGATAATGTCCGTGACTGACCGATATTTTAAGGCCTGTCAAGCCGTCCC